GCTTTGTGATAGATTCTGTTCAAGTAAATAAAAAGGTGTCTTTACACTTTGCTTTCTGATAGCCCTGAAGCAAACTGTAATTCAGGGACATGAATTTCACAATTCAGAAATATAATTGGGTATTTCCATGCTAATGATTTTAAATAACAATCAAATTAATACAATTTCTAAACAGGTATGCTGATATGGCAAAATGATCTTTGTAGGGTGTTACGTACAGTGCCTTGAAAAAGTATTCATACCCCTTGAAATTTTCCACATTTTGTCATGTTACAACCAAAAATGTAAACATATTTTTATTGAGATTTTATGTGATAGACCAACACAAAGTGGAAGGAAAATGATAAATGGTTTTAATTTTTTACAAATAAATATGGCGTGCATTTCTATTCATCTCCCGAGTCAATATTTTGTAGAACCACCTTTTGCTGCAATTACAGCTGCAAGTCTTTTTGGGTATGCCTCTACTAACCTTGCACATCTAGAGAGGGACATTTTTGCCCATTCTTCTTTGCAAAATAGCTCAAGCTCTGTCTGATTGGATGGAGAGTATCTGTGACAGCAATTTTAAAGTCTTGCCAAAGATTCTCAATTGGATTAAGGTCTGGACTTTGACTAGGCCATTCGAACACATTATTATTTATTACAGGTACTTATTTAGCGCCCTCAATTTACACAGCGCTTTACATATATATTGTTCATTCACATCAGTCCCTAACCCTCTGATATGTAACCCTAACTTACATTCATATATACACATACTAGGGACAATTTAGACAGGATCCAATTAACCAACAGTATGTCGCTGGAGTGTGGGAGGAAACCGAAGTACCCAGAGAAAATCCACGCAGACACAATGAGAACATGCAACCTCCAGGCAGGTAGTGCTGTGGTTGGGATTTGAACCAGTGACCCTTGTACTGCCAGGCAGAAGTGCTTACCATTTAGCCACTGTGCTACCCCTATGAATATGCTTTGATCTAAACCATTCCATTGTAGCTCTGGCTGTATGTTTAGGGTCGTTGTCCTGCTGGAAGGCGAACCTCCACCCCAGTCTCAAGTCTTCTGCAGACTCTAACAGGCTTTCTTCTAAGATTGCCCTGTATTTGGCTCCATCCATCTTCCCATTAATTCTGACCAGTTTCCCTGTCCCTGCTGAAGAAAAGCATCCCCACAACATGATGCTGCCACCAACATGTTTCACAGTGGTGTGTTTCAGGGTGATGTGCAGTGTTAGTTTTCTGCCACACATAGCATTTTTCTTTTAGGCAACAAAGTTCACTTTTGGTCTCATCTGACTAGAATACCTTCTTCCAGATGTTTCCTGTGTCCCCCACATGGCTTCTCAAAAACTGCAAATGGGACTTCTTATGGCTTTCTTTCAACAATGGCTTAATTTTTGCCACTCTTCCATTAAGGCCAGATTTGTGGAGTGCACGACTAATAGTTATCCTGTGGACAGATTCTCCCGCCTGTGCTGTGGATCTCTGCAGCTCCTCCAGAGTTACCACGGGCCTCTTGGCTGCTTCTCCGATTAATGCTCTCCTTGCCCGGCCTGTCAGTTTAGGTGGATGGCCATGTCTTGGTAGGTTTTCAATTGTGCCATATTCTTTACATTTTTGGATGGTGGATTGAACAGTGCTCCGTGAGATGTTCAAAGCTTGGGATTTTTCTTATAACCTAACCCTGCTTTAAACTTCTCCACAATTTTTTCCCTGACCTGTCTGGTGTGTTCCTTGGCCTTCATAATGCTCTTTGTTCACTAATGTTCCCTAACAAACCCGAGGGCTTCACAGAACAGCTGTATTTATACTGAGATTAAATTACACACAGGTGGACTCTATTAATTAGGTGACGTCTGAAGGCAATTGGTTCTACTAGATTTTAGTTAGGGGTATCAGACTAAAGGGGGCTGAATAGAAATGCACAACACATTTTTCAGATATTTATTTATAAATATTTTGAAAACCATTTATCATTTTTCTTCCACTTCACAATTATGTGCCACTTAGTGTTGGTCTATCTCATAAAATCCCAATAAAATACATTTACATTTTTGTTTGTAACATGACAAAATGTTGAAAATATCAAGGGGTATGAATACTTTTTCAAGGCACTGTATAGATTTGTAAAAGTACACTATATTTCCAAAAGTATTGGGATGCCTGCCTTTACACACATATGAACTTTAAAGGCTTCCCAGTCTTAGTCCGTAGGGTTCATTATTGAGTTGGCCCACCCATTGCAGCTATAACAGCGTCAACTCTTCTGGGAAGGCTGTCCACAAGGTTTAGAAGTGTGTCTATGGGAATGTTTGGAGGGGGAATTATGGTGTGGGGTTGTTTTTCAGGGGTTGGGCTGGAGGGGCCATTCTTTGACCATTCTTCCAGAAACGCATTTGTGAGGTCTGGCACGTATTTCGGACAAGAAGACCTGGCTCGCAGTCTCCACTTTAATTCATCTCAAAGGTGTTCTATCGAGTTGAGGTCAGGACTCGGTGCAGGCCAGTCAAGTTCCTCCCCCACAAACTTGTTCATCCATGTCTTTATGGACCTTGCTTTATGCACTGGTGCGCAGTCATGCTGGAACAGGAAGGGGCCATCCCTAAACTGTTCCCACAAAGTTTAAGAGCATGAAATTGTCCAACATGTCTTGGTATGCTGATTCCTTAAGAGTTCCCTTTGCTGGAACTAAGGGGCCAAGCCCAACCCCTGAAAAACAACCCCACACCATAATCCCCCCTCCACCAAACTTTAAACTTGGCACAATGCAGTCAGGCAATTACCGCTCTCATGGCAACTGCCAAACCTAGACATGTCCATCGGATTGCCAGACAGAGAAGTGTGATTCGTCACTCCAAAGAACATGTCTCCACTGCTCTAGAGTCCAGTGGTGGTGTGCTTTACACCACTGCATCCTATGCTTTTCATTGCACTTGGTGATGTAAGGCTTGGATGCAGCTGCTCGGCCATGGAAACCCATTCCATAAACCTCTCTATGCACTGTTATGCTAATCTTAAGACCACATGAAGTTTGGAGGTCTTTAGCTATTGACTCTACAGACAGTTGGTGATTTCTGCGCACTGTGTGCTTCAGCATGCGCTGACCCTGCTCTGTCATTTATGTGGCTACCACTTGGTGGCTGAGTTGCTGTTGTTCCCAGTTGCTTCCACTTTGTTATAATACCACTAACAGTTGACCGTAAAATATTTAGTGGCAAGGAAAGTTCACACCGATTAGCTTATTGCACAGGTGGCAACCTATCACGGTACCACACTTGAATTCACTGAGCTCCTGAGAGCGACCCATTCTTTCACAAATGTTTGTAGAAGTAGTCTGCATGCCTAGGTGCTTGATTTTATACACCTGTGGCCATGGAGGTAATTGGAACACCTGAATCCAATGATTTGGAGGGGTGTCCCAATACTTTTGGCAATAGTGTACGTTATAGAGCTCAATTTTGGGAACAAAAAATATATATTTTTGGATATATTGGAGAAGAGGGAGCATGTCTGTCACGTTTGTATTGCAATTTGTGTTCTTAGCTAGGAAGAATTCCATCTCCTGTGCTCCTGATGCCACCAGAATAAATAATGATGCCACCAGAATAAATAATGGCAATGGCTGTGACTGGGACAGAAAGTCACCAACAGCAATTAAAAACCCTGTCAAAAGAACTAACCTCCCTGCAGTCTAGTCCTTTTGGAGAAATTACCAAACACTTCCTGCATTTGTGATCATTTATAAGGATAGGAAGTGACAAGAAAACTCAACAGGGATCAAACAGTAAAGATCCAACAGGTGTTATAATCCTTCCTCATTCAGTCCAAAACTAGCTGAAAAGGCATTGCTTGGACTTTAATTATTTGGTTGTACATGTTCAAACAGAGATTCACAAGTTTTTTACCCAGTACACATTTTGAGTTATTATTGAAAATTTAAAGCCCAACTCATATTTTTTTTTAAATACCTAGTCCCTTGCTTCCCACTTCCCTTTACATAGATTTTTTTTCCTAAAATTCCTCCCTGCTTACCTTAGAAATTTTCTGCAACTGGTTTTTCACGTGTCCTCACGAGTTTCCGATCCAGCGGTGACTTGAGGGTGGACACACATCATAAAACAGTTAAATGTGTGCTCCCTTAGCACTAGCAGACTGGCGGAGGTCAGCACCTCAACCAGCACCCTCCAGCCAGTGTCCTGTAGAGGACAACATGGTGTGGGACCATGACAGGTTGAGTGAGGCTAGGTGTCATTCAACCAGGAGTCAGGACGGCTGCAACTGGACTGAATGGCGTTTCTGCAGGAGATAGTCCTAGGGAGAAGGTAGTTGAAGCAGCAAAAACTAGAAAAAAAAGGGAATTTAAAATATGGGGGGGGGGGGGTTTTCAGCTGGAATAAGTTTTTACATTTTTTAGGTGACTTAAATTTATATTGGTTAATGGTAGTTTCATAATAAATTATGATAAACAGATATGCAAGTTTTCCCTAGCACCGCAATCAACATCTATGCAAAGTAGGCAACTTTTTTTCCCAGGCCTGTAGACTGGATAAGAGTAGTGGTTAAGCACAGGCACTGGGTTGTACTACAAAGCACAACATGTATAAAGTAAGTATATACATAGCTAAGTAAGGCTGCTCCCATATACATATACAAACTAAACAAAGCATGGGGGGTTCTTTTAAACATAGATGTAGTGTGATTAGATCAATGTCATCAAACAAGTGACAATGACATACAGGTCTATAAAAGTTTGAGAAAGAAGTGTAGATTTCCTTCATGCTGTTAGCGTGAGTTATTGCATCATAGCAGAGGAAAGGATAAGGTTAGACACATATAACAGATGCCTGGAAAACCCAGAGTGACAGAGGAGAGGTTAGCATGTTAAAGATTCCCCCAGAGTGATATTGAGAGCAGAGAGTTAGAATGGGGCGCAGAGTGCCTTTGAGGAGACACAGCAAGCCAGAGGACAGACAGAACGTGGAGCCTTACGCCAGACATCTCCGTCTGCAGAGCTGAAACTTTCTTCTTCAGCTCCTCCGCCTGGCTCTCCTTGGTGCTCAGCTCCTCTTTCAGCTGCTCTACCTGTCAGGACATTGAGCAAGTCATACAGTCAGATAATTTTTGCTATGAACATAACAAGCATTATAAAAACTGATGGACCCAGTGATTAGATTTACTATTAGGTCTAGGAGGTTAGATTTGGGGGGAATTAGGTGTGACAGGGTTGACGGTCTCCTGAGAAGCTGCTGAGAAGAGAAAAAGGGAATTGCAGACACAAGAACTGAAAGAATAAAGTTGTAATAAGTACAACATTATTGTACACTGTAATAAGTATCTTCAACTACGTTGTGCATGCATTTTGAGGGGTGTCCAGTCATTTATTATGTCCCCAACGCTCAACTGTAGAGCAAACAGCACACATGAGCCTCAACACATAGTAACATATACAATGCAACATGTATTGCATTATAAAGAAAAAAAAAAAGGTTTACTTATTTTTTTAATGCATAGATGAACGCTGATGACCAGGAGGACATGAATAGGTACATGCCAAAAAGCATGTATTGCAAAGCACATTGGCACATCAAACCACCCGTTACAAATCATATAAGTGAAAATGAGCCATTAAGGGCAACTGTAGTCAAGTGGCTTAATACACAGTTGGAACACTACTGTTTTAGCAGCCAGAAGATTTCTTTGTGGTCACCACCATCACAGCTGTGTTACACTGCTGTATAACAAAAGAAGGATGTAAAAACTTTTCAGAATTTGCTGCTTTTCAGGTATTGTGTCACTGCTCCACCGCCTGCCTACTCTCAGGGATACTACCTTAATGCACTTGCAAATCCCAGCAGAAGCACCCTTGGTCCAAAAGGTAAAAAAACTATTTCTGTCTATTTTGCAGATTACCCTTCACTTTGCTGATTGAAGACACCTAACTTTTCCAGGCAGATTCTCAGGAGAACAATGGTACTTGTCAAATCTTGCTCTGCCACAAAATACCATACTAGCACCGACATCAAAATGTGAATAGAGCACCAGGACTCAACGAAACAAGAAAAGAGCTTAAAGAACACCTGTAGTTTATAGTAAAGGATATATATTAACAACTGAGCACTGCCTGTACAGCATGCAGAGCCGTCCTGGGACCCAGCTACCCACTGAGATGCATTAGAAGACACAGCTATATGTGGTAGTGCACGGAGGGGGGGGGGGGGGGGGGTGTTAGAAAATACCCAAATGCGTACTGATGTTGTATGTTCTAAACGCGCATGATCTGCTTTCAGAATATCTGTCAGTGCACACGCAGGATTGTCATTACACAGGATCTGTATGCTGTACAGCAGTGTGCATGAGGCCTTTAGAAAAGGCAGGGTAACCTGAGCATGTTACTAAGGTAACAATAGGAGGTTAGATTATGGGAAGGTCTTGTGACGTTTTTAACAACTGAACCTTTCAAACTTATCTTTGGTGACAGGAAATCAGCAAAGAGTAGAGTAGGCCGACATGGCACTGTCACAACAACTTACAAAGTAATCATTAAATACATACCCCGCTTACCTCCCTTCCATTCTACCTTCACAACATTTGTGTCAGGTGACATTTACAGTAAACCTGTCATGCAAAAAATACAGGGGCAGGCTGATCCTGAAAATACTAGCTGCTTGGCTTTCATACTAAAACAATGTCCTCCATATCTTCTGACATGGAACAAGTACAGGGGTTAGACAAATAAAATGGAAACACTACATGATTTGCAGGTGTGAAAATGACTTTTTTTGTGTTAAAAGCGGAAATGATGTAACATTCTTTTGCTATCATTGTGTGATGAGACACCTAGTTAACAGGTGGGAAGCCTCACTTTCATGATTGAGTTGCTAGTAATACGAAGTTAAGTCAGAGCTTACAGAGCTTCAAAAAGGGCAAATTGTTGGTGTCCCCTTTGCTGGTGCCTCTGTGACTGAAATTGTCAATTTATTTGCAGTGTTACAAGGTACATTATCAAAGGTTATGACAGCATATACCGTTTCAGCGAAAACGTTGTCTAATAAGCATAAGCTCAGTCAACTGACCAAATGAGACAAAAGGACATTGCGCAAGATTGTGATCCGGAATATGAAAACAACTGCTGCAAAAGTGACTGCAGAGCTCAACCTCAGTTTTTTGTCTAACCCCTGTATATCTGATCTGAGAAATGTCAGAAATCCTTATTTGTATACTTGTTCTGCCTCAGTAATTTGTCATACTGGAGCCAGAGCTTTAGCATGAAAGCCAGGAGATTAATATATTCAGGAGAGATCAGCAGCAACTTCATCCACATTTCTCCCCAAACAGGTAATCATTAGCCTCCCAAAACATACACAATTATTCATAACTGAAAAAGTGTCTATAATTCTTTCAAAGAGTGATATGAAAAGTCAATTTCTTAATATGTGTTGAAATTAAGACTTCTTTAAATACATCAAGTACTGTTCGTTATGATAAAGATATATATGCAGTTTTCCACAACATTTCCTTCCTATATTTTGAATATTCAATTTAGTGGTCAAGTGATTGCAAAGCCTACTTTTATAGTTAAAATAAAAAAGAGGGTATACTTATCTGCTCTATGTAATGATGTTGTACAGAGCTGTACAATAACATTACACAGAGCAGGTAAGTACCTCCTCTTCTGGAGACCCCAGCTGTTGCTGTCTTCTCTTTTTCTCTGGGTGCCCCCTCAGCAAGCCCTGTGCTGGCAGAGCACCCATCCAGGCATGCTCCTGAGCTGGGCTGTGCGCATCAATAGACACACAGATTGCGGCTCAGGTCCCTTCTCACAGGATTTGACTGACAGCTCCTGCTGCTCTCAAAGTCTCTTGTGCAAGCAGGAAGTAAAGAGTGAAGAGCTGCAGCCAAAACTGTGCTGGATTATAAGAGGAGACGGGCATATGTTTAGGGGTGGGGTATACAACAAGTGGTAAAATGTTTTTTACCTTAATGCAGAAAATGCAATAAGTTAAAAAAAAACTTTTAACATTAGGACCACCTTAACTGGTAAACAGTATTTTTTACCCAATGCTGCTGGAGGACTGGAGGAGGCATGGATTTAAGAGACAAGTAAAAAAAGAGGCAGTTATAAAAAAAAAAAAAAAAAAAAAAAACAACACCAAGTGTTACAAAATTTTGGACCATAGAAAGGGTATGGTGCAAACAACAGTGTGCAAGCTGACGGTGCAAGAAAATTTAGGAGATGTTCCTTAAAATAAACCTGCACCCAGATTATGTACACAGATTTACATATTCTGAACAAGCTGCAAGCCCTCTAAAGCAAGTTCTCAATCACCTCTGTAGCTATAGAATCCGTGGAGAAATTAATCTACAAAATTCATCTACAAAGCTCAGATCAACAGAAGCACTAAATCTCAGTTTTAAAACCTCTAGGGTCCATCTGGATCTCTCCATAACGGTGCAAAGCTCTCTGGTGCACTACCTTGAATAACAAGAGTCATGTCTGTTTAGTTGTACGTAAAGATGACCTACCAAATCACTCAAAATGAATGGGCTGCCTTAATGTAGTGCGCCTTAACACACAAAAACCTGTTGCATAAACGTAATGCACAGTGTGGATGAGCCTAAAAGTACAGTTGTATAACTTAAAAAAACCCAGTTTGGTTTCCCTCTTAGCTAGTATACCAAAAACAGTACTAAGTACTGCTTGCCTTTTCACTGCATGGAGCTTGCAGTCTCTCCTGTGCAGGTGTCAAGATTATAACTGAATGTATGCTGCTATGAACAGTGTAAAGAGGACTGCATTCCTCTTTTTGGAGTCCACTGGGGGACACAGGAAAACTTTAACCTTCAAGTTATACTACTACCTACAGAAGAATTAGACACTGGCAAATAAAAAACTGTGTGCCAGCCCAGGACAACTCCTCCTACTACCAATATGCCTCACTTTTGTAACAAAGCAGTATCAAGAGAATGATCATAAACACATAAAAGTGGGACCTGTGTTCTTCAATGGACTACAAGAAAAGTGAGAAGTGACGGTACTATGAATAAAATATCCCATTGAGGCACACAGGAAGACTTTAAAGTATAACTAAAGGAAAAACTTTTTTTACATTGATATAGCTGAGATGGGTCAGAACACCTTACAGGTTCTATCACTATCTGTGCCCCGGTTAGGGAGATTCATCCTCTCTATTTGTTTACCATTATCATCAAAGGTGAAAATAAAACCCCAAATTTTGGGTTGTCCCCAAGTAATAGAGGGGAGATCTTCCAATGGGGACATTAGTTCTGGTGACCTTGGGATCCCCAAGGAATTCCCTTAATTTGCAGGGATTTTCTCACTGTCTGTTTTGACTATGGTACAGGAAGTGAAGGGAAATCTCCTCAATGGGACACAGATGGCAAAAAAAACAAACTGACAGGGGTTATAACCCCCCTTACTCTATCTGGAATAAAAAAAAAACGTTTTGCCTATAGTTCTACTTTAATCTTAGGGACATCCAAAAGCAGTCCAAGTGAGGGGTGGGCAACACAGCAAAAGAAAATCAATCACAGACCCAAAACACAGAGAACAAGATACTGCCTGCAGCTCAAAGAACCGTCTGAAGGACCTTACATCTGAAGCTCATATCAGATGAGGCTTCATGGTCCTTCTGGTAAAATTTCAAGAACGTGTGAACAGAAGACCAGGGTGCAGCCTTTTCCAAAATCTGAGAAACAATTTCTTGATGGCGCCCAGGTTTCCTACAGTGTGCCTTGCCAGGAAAGGGTGGTGCCTGATTCTTTTAAGCTTGGATTATGGTCTGACTGAACCACCAAGAGATAGTGGAATAACACCCTTGCTAATCCCATCCAAGACTACAGAAGGCAAACATCCACCCAGGACTACAGATGCTAAACAGGACTTTGAGGATGGAACAGAATCTAAGATCAAAGAATAACATGATTTCCGGCTGCATATGTTGATACGGTAACAAGTAGCCCCAGAACAGTTAGCAGAATGTGAGCTGGGGGAACCCAGTACAGCATCACTGTACCACCCCCTTGTCTAAAATCAGATTTGCAGCAACTGCGTTGCAGTAAATCAATTGCTCAGGATAAAGAGGCAATGGCCTCATGTACTCACAAAACCCAGAGAGTTGGAAGCAGGTGAGGGTTAGATGGCAGAAGGTGACCAAGGACAGCAAGAATGGATCAAGCATTGAAGTTCCATTTGGTTCTTTGCAGCAAGAGAAGCTGTATGAAGATGCTGTATGTATGTAGAGCTGATCAGCTAATGGGCTGATTGAAAAAAAAAAATAACAGGTTTCTCCATGCACATAAGTGAGGTTGATAGAAATGCCTTATCAGCAACCTCAGAATTCAATGCCTCATCTCCCCCCGATAAGGCACAGAATTCTGCAAATGGCACCTGTAGCAATTGTATGTACAGAGATGGACGCGGTCATCCATCTTGCTAAAGATCCCCCATCTTGTATCATCCTCTCTCCCTCCAATTCCCCCTTCCTCAGGAATGTGGTCTGTATGTATGCTGAGATTACAGGCATCAGGCCCAGCGGGGTAGCTTCATGGTTATAAACCCCAATTAGCCTGGGCCCAATATGTCTGTGAAACTCTTGCTCTGAAGCTAATCGTAAAGCCATAAACCAGTCCTTCACTAGACTTCAAACACATTCCAAGATAGCCATAAAACAGACATCACATTTTAAAAATCACTTTTCCATATAATTTCCTATCTTAAGCTAGGAAATAATTACAATGAAGCAACGAATATATTCGGATAGCTCAGTTTAATGCAAGTCGCCTGATATCTTACACCCCTAGTTGAAGTCTACAGGAGAGCAGAGAGCCATATAGTTCTAGCTGAAATAGTGAAATATGGCATGTTTGATGTCAGGACGTTCAGGATATCATTCTGCATATTAATCTATTAGTGGCTAGGCTGCTAAGTGCACCTAGGGAAGGTTATTGACCATGATATCAACTCCCCAAATGAGGCGATTGGTTCTCTGCTGTAAGGAGACACCCTGCTGAGTTCCTAGAAAGAGGCTGTCAGGTTTGGAGAAGTAAGATGAAGAGATCTCCCTTTTAACATCAGGAACCAACTTGGGAGACGGTACCCTTTTGTTCAGGAAACTTGATCTGCTTAAACCAAGGCTGGCGGCAAGTATTCTATCTCTCTAAACTTCTGTTATCTCTCTGTTGTGGTATTGCTCTCTGTATTTATATATATATTGGTTACATCTTTTTCTGTAAATATTTTTATTGCACCATTTTGACCTTTAGTAATAAATCCTATTATCTGAAAAGTGTTGAACTGTTTCTAAAGCTCTTTAATGCAAACTATGAATCCCTGTCTCTGAAGAGCGCTACTGTGTGTTTTAAACTTCTGCATACATCTATCTGCGGTGACATTGTGTATACAAACGCTTATTCAAACATCATAGTGTTATTGCTAATATTGGCGAGTTTCCTCCTTTTCTCTACAAAAAGGAGGTGGTGGCAGTGTGAAGGGTTAATTGTGTAATTAACCTGACCCAGTAACAATCGCTCTCAGGCTGCAGGTACATAGATTGTGGTCCATTAGCTGGAAAATCTTTGTGCAGGGTGCAGCTGAGCGTGGCATTGTTACGCACGTGACAGGGCGGTTTTAGCTCGGTTAGTCCTTTGGTCAAGAGTTGGTGAGAAGGGCCGGGGGTCTGACGCCACAACCGTCACAGCACCCTCCACTGTTAAAATACACTGATGAGTGGCTGCAGCTGACCAGCTGCAACTGCTGGTCAATAAAAAAATTGCCTAACAATGTCTTGACTATCAAGCAGGGAAGCCCACAACCTTGAACGAAATTTGGCTGGTCACTGCTGGATCAGCTGAATTTCAAACAGTGTATAGTCTTAACCCAGAACAGCTGTAGAAAAGACATCAATCCTCCTAGAACACTACAAAAAAAATGAGGCATGCTAGCAGTGGGAGAGGTTGTCCTGGGGCGGCCTACGTTTTTTTTTTGTTTGAAAGTATCCATTTCTTCTGTAGGTGGCAGTATTACCCGAAATGTAAATACTTTATGTGCCCTAAATTTTTTTTTGCAATTTAAAATATTTTCTTTTGAAGTATTTACAGTATGTTAGCAGAATCCCTATCCTAACTATATTCCTAAAAATAACATACACCAAATCTAACACTTTTAGTGAAAAATGGGACAATCAGAACCTTCAAACATTTCACAGTTTACTATGCCCCCCTTACTTTATCCTTCCTTTTTACCCTGTGCCACTCCATTCAGCTGCAAGAGGGAGTAAAGAATGCTGTGTAAAAGCTCAGAGATGCTCCAGTCACAGCTGACACAGGTCTGAGGTGTGCCCATGTAACAGCATTGAACCAACCACAAAACACCTGGACTGCAACATGAAAAAGGGGATGTGTCAAATACTCCTCCTTACCCAGGAAATATAGGTTACAGGTCTGAACTATGCAGCAGTGGTGTAAATGAGTTGGGGGGGAGGGGGACGAGACATAAACACAAACTTCTTACTTTGTCCTATACAAGTTTGATTTAAAACTGCACATAGGCAGGAAAAAACTGTTAAAAAGAAGAATAGAAACTCCACTGTTCTGAGCAATAGAAACTCCACACAGCATGAAAACTTTTGGTCTGAAGTTTCTTATTCTAAGTCTAGTATTTTGGTGATGGAGATGTTATGATTAATTAATCTCTAGAGAAAGAAAAAAAACACTATAGAGAAGCAAAAACACTATAAATTAGTTATTAAACCTGCAGACATCAATGACCCTTTTCATAACGACTGTACTGATTGAGGACGACAAACTACAGCACTGCAGAGCTAGATTACCTTATTCTTCATGAACTTGGAGTGACTGCGATAGACCTCCATTTGTTTTATCTCCTCCTCACGCTCTTCAGTAGTCAAGGCTCCATTGGACTTTAGCATTTGGATCTCCTCCTCCATGTCCCTCAGTCCTCGCTCCATCGATGTGATCTTAGAGTCCTACGGGGAAACAATGCCATGACTACGAATTTCCAGAGCGGCTTATACTACTCTATTAGACCATTAGGACTAGCTAAAGCTAAATGGAACACCTAACCAAATGTAGGACAATCTGATGGCAGAATGGACAATGGGAAACGTTCAGCAGTGTACATATCTTACCTTCTTGTATAGTACTACAAATTCTACATTGGAGAGTAGTCTAAAACTACTGCATCACAAAGTGAATGTTCTGGAGCAATGGTGGTACACATCCTCACTCCAGGTAGGCCTTGGAAGTACTGGAGAAGTACGGATAAGACAATATTATGGCATAAGTTCACTCTATCATCAGTTAAGAGGGGTTGTTACAAGAAGGGGAATGAGATTTACCCAGAAGATGGGATGGGACTTCTTTTAAAGTGTAGTTAATAGATTCTCAATCCAAAATAGGAACAGCTGTCAGCTCAACAGGGAGAAGTTCATTGGATTTCTGGCAGTTCATGTATTTTTCTGCACTTGCAGCACTTTTAAAGGAATAAAATGTGAGGAAATGTAGATGTATTGCAGATATGAACTAAAAAAGTGTTTTTTTTTTTGCCCAGACATACACTTGAATAGGAAAAAATGGAGTATAACATCTCTACTACAATAGGTCTTGTTGATCCTGCCAGAAAGCAGTTGACCTTCATTTGTTGAGGTGACAACACTGATACACCATCATCGAAAACTGCCATCAACGTTGCTACTCTCACACCTGCAATCCTCTGCTGGACAACAGGCGTATGTGCCAACGCAACTAAAGTTACCACATTCTTCTAAGTTTATTATCTGCCCCTAATCCTTCTAAGGGGAAACCAGGTGTAGGTTACTGTCTGTATGTCACAGCAAAGTGACATGAGTGCCGCTGTAACCTACCGTGTTAGACTGAACGTGCCTTGAAAAAGTGGAGCTGCATTTCAGATAAGCGACAGATTCAGGCTTTATTTGGATACATGAAAAATGAAATGATAGACGAAAAGTTTTGAAAGCATAACTTTTACTTAAAGTGAACCTATATATGCCAGCAAGTACACGTGCTCAGAAGTATGCAGACACCTGACCTTCACCATCATAAATGAGCTTTTTGAATATTCCATTCCAAAACCATGAGCATTACTATGGAGTTGGATCACCTTTGCAACTATAACAGCATTTACTCTCCTGGAAATGCTTTCCACAATATTTTTGGAGTGTGTCTGTGGGAATTTATTATGATGTTGGACAATAAAACCCAGCTCAAGTCCTGCTTTACATTCATCCCAAAAGTGTTCATTGAATCTGAAGTCAGGGCTCTGTGCTGCCCACTTGAGTTCCTCCACACAAAACTGCTCCAACAATGGAGCTGGCTTTGTACACGGGGCAAAGCCATAAAAAAGGATCTTCCCCAAACTAACATTACCATACTTATAGAGGGGTAAAACATACCATTGTGACACTGTACTATTTGTGGGGGTGATGAAGATTTTTTTTTTTCTACACTGATTGATTTTACACCCATAAAGGCTGTAAAAGCAATCATTTTTCCTTCTCTCTGGCTGCATTCTTGCAGCCATTGAGAAATACTGTGCGAGCTGTGATTGGTCACAGCTTGTCACATGGTACAAGGCCGTTGTGAATAGCCTTGTACCATGTGGTCTCTCTAATCATTCACAGATTTCACATGTAGTAAGCAATGATGTCAGAAGTGACATCTTGCTTTCTACTATTCATATGATCACCGATTGGCCAATTAGTGATCACATGATAAGGACCTCACACAGAGGTCCCGATCAGCGATCAGTGTTCCGCATCACAGCGCGCTCAGGCAGGGAAGCGGGAGGACGTTTATAAAGCCACCTGCCCCTGCACTGCTCCTGTCTGGCTGTTTATATACATGGGCTGGACGGGAAGTGGTTAAGTAAACTTAAATTTTATGAGATTATGACAATACAAGAGGAACTATGGAAATTGTGCTAGAGGTGATGGGCTGTCACCATTTCAAAGCTTCATTAATCAGCATTTTTCATAAAGTAAAGGTAAAAGACATGACATGCAAAAGCAAAGCCTTTGGCAAAGTATGTATCTGATCACACACAGCCGCCATGCGTTCATGAATGCCCACAATTTTCCCAGCATGTCAGTAATTTTTCCTTTTGCATCCCAGATAAGAGACTTTCATTACATAATTTGATAAATTGATTCAACAGAAGATGATAGATTAGAGGAAAAAACATTTAAATTTAGCTTACTTTAATGGAGAAATTCTTGCCAAAAAGGACCACCATACCCATAACACAAACATTTTTAATTTTATTCACTGTGTGAGCTACATAAGCTTTTCACTAATCTCTAGTTTGTTCAATAAAATCCTACAAAGGTAAAGGGCAGTAGTCTACCATTTTGGGTGGATGCCACAGTTTACCGCATTCCCCTTATAGAACAGGCATCTACAGTATAGCGTTACAACAACCCTTGCTTGTATAAGACAAGAAGATGACTACTGCTTTCTTTACTATACAGCTTATTGTCCTACAAAACCATACAAAGTAGTCAAATGAGTATTATAAAATTTAAAGTGGAACAAAACCCACTAAACTTTACAGGCATTGAAGCTGCCATTTTAGCCACTGTTTGATCTGCAGTTGCCATGGTGCTGAACACGCGATCAATTATGACCCGTGCCATTTAATGGCTTGACAGCATATCTTGAATATAAATGTTTTTTGGAAACAAATAAATCAATGAGTTCAATTCCGCTTTAAAAAATATGTTGAAGCAAAAGTTTTTGTTTTAGCTTTGGACAGATTGGGAAAAGGTTAGAACTCCTATGATTTTATTTCTATTCAGGGCTCTGTTATAAAGATTTCCTTTAACTTCCTCTCACCCTGACAATGTTTTAACTAGACGAAAAGTGAGGTAAACTCTGCAACAGCAGTATAGACAGAAATGAAAAATATTAGTGTAACAGAAGACTAGAACCCCTGTTAGAAACAAAAATCTATCCACCTCTCTGTTGCATATTTCTACTCACTTTCTTTCTGGTGAGACAGTTGTCACTGGGACAGGAAGTGAGAGGAAATGGCCTTAAAGAACAACTAAAAGTAGCACGAGTCTGTTTAGCTATTTACCAATAAAACCTATGAAAGTCCCAAATCTAATTTTTAGCTTAAAATGGATTCTTACCTCAGCATGACTCTAAATATGTAGTTCATGCTTAGTCTTGAGCATCCCTGCTAAAGAATCCTGATACTGATATTAAGAGGAGCTACCCAGAGTTACCACACCATTTCTGAGTGTTGTATCTAGCTGCTGTGTCTCCTTTAGTAAACTACTACTTCTCACTATATACAGCAGATGGGTGAACATAGGCTTTACAATTACAGCCAAGCTAGAGTTTGCTACTCCACACTAACTTCCAATCAGAGACATGTCCACTGTGATGGTGATGTAATTGTGCCCTAATTTGTAATTGTGCAACACAAAGGGTGAAAATACAACCATTTGTATGGAGGTGCAGCTGTTCCTCACCATGTGAAAGAAGGAGAGCCATAAGCAATCAGATGCCAGACACTAGTTGCCAAGTTTATATAAACAAGTGATGCTATGCTTAGCAAGCATATTAAGTGTTTTGCAGTAAAAACCTGCCAGGGGTTCTATTCTTTTTCCATTTTACTTATGTTAAGTATAGTGGGCCTTTAAAATATTTTTCTTTCCATTAATCATGGTAAGCATTTTCTGTTTGCTACCCGTTCACCTTGGTCCAATGCCAAAGTTCCAAATTCTCCTTTGTATGTTTAAACTTCCTAAGAATGGAAAAACATGTTCCCCCATGCCTTCTCACATGACAAAACCTGAGGCCTGTTGATTTGCCACTAGTACAGAATGCTGTAATGTGGAAGGCACGAGGGGGAAGAGGCTGGCAGGGGTTAGGGGGGCGAGAAGTGGGGAGAGTCAGTTGTTTCCTTAATCCCAAATGTCCCATGGAATTCTGGGGGAGCTCTAGAAACAGGAAGACAAGTAAAACCTACTATAAAGAAAATCTGTGACTTTATCTTATATAAGCAAGTACAGGTTAACGTTAACAACCATCTGGGAAATGAATTCTATTTACTACGGTTAGTGCTGCACTGTCCTACTATATATTAAAGTGGAACTTTATTCAGAAAATTAAGTCCTGCTAGATCACTTTGGGATAGCCCCTTTTGCAGGTATAGCTATATAAAACATTACAATAAGTGCATATAATGTTTAAAATCCAGTAATACATTGTCTCACCTGCTGTGCACGTACTCAGTTGCTCTTTATTTTTTTGGCAGTGTGCCGAAAATGTGGAGGCCGATCTGCTGACATCCTAAATATTTACTGCTGCTCAGGTGCTCTAGGCTTCAGCAAAAGGGCAGATTCCAGCAAGAAGAAATGGAAACAATGCTGGAGGCAATTTACGGGCAATTTTGGTAGCATTAATTATTAATTAGGCAGGTAATTATTAATGTGGAATGTATGTTCCTTGCTAAAGAACATTTTTTATCAAGTTGTTATGGGTAAAGTTCTGCTTTAAGTCATACTTTACTGTGAGATGAGAACACTGTTCAATGAAGAAGAAAGGTAGAACTCTGAATAAATGACCAGGTCATAAGATTTTGGGAAAATTGGTCAATATAGAAACCAAATTTAGGGGTGGGGTTTGCCTTTAACGTTCTGTTTTAATGCAGACTCAATGTGTGGCCTTTTTTCTGGCCTTCCAAATCTCATCTTCTGTGATTTAATATTGAAAGGTAAGTAACCCCATTCTAGCAGAACTATATACGGCACTTGTATAAATGGATGGCAGTCACGCACACTGCCATCAGCAATTAGAGTCTCCTAATAATCATACCTTCATTTCGATAACGGTCTGCAGTGCTTTCGTCTTGGCGGAATCTGGGGCGTTTTCGAAGCGCCGATGGATTTCCTGCAGGGAGGAAGAAAAACATCACAGGTGAGATTTTAATTCAGGCCTAAGGTAGCGGACGGAGGAGCTACTCACTCCATCGCAAGCAGAGGGAGGTGCAGCCAGCTACCTGACCCCATTAATAGCAGCGCCAAGAACAGCCAGGCTCTCGCACATAAGGTGACGTGATGTGATAAAAAAAATCCCCAGAGTAACAACAGGATGGTTGCCAAGCGAGGAAGCTTGGTGCTGGTTGGGACTCTGCAATTTCCTCAGGGAGGTTAGCAGAGGTGACAATCAGGGGATATCGCCTTTAACTGCTTTAGATCCAGAGGGAAGCACAGAGCCTGTTAGCAGTACATTGGAGAATATGTGTAAGCTTCTATAGGGAGTGGCTTTTACAGGGTATGAAGACCTCCCAAAAACAAAAAAAACTGGAAACAGTGATATTTTAGAGGTCTGCCCCTTATCTTCATCAAATGAATAATAAGACTCTCACCAGAGAGCCAAGCATAAAAAAATCATCTTCTGATAATGAATGGACATGCTGCTCATATTTTATTTCTTTTTGGTTTATCAAATCCCAAGAATAAAAAGGTTATTTATTGCACCTTTTAAGTCCTTTGATGTAATGGCTACATTTAGTTTCTTTTTTCAGGTTCTTTTTTTTATTTATTTGCACTATGTGATCAAGCCAATAACACACTGCACACATCTCCTAGGGTAACAATGGAGTTAATACAGACTGAGGAAAAGGCTGCAGGAGACAAAGTCTGTTGACATATTTAAAGTGGTTGTATAGACTCAAGGCTTTATTTACCTTCATGCATTTTATGCATGAAGGTAAAAAACGTTTTGTATGCAACAGATCCCCCAGCATCCCTAATACTTACCAAAGCTCCATCGCAGTCCAGCTATGTGCATAAGAGCCTCAGCATTCCGCTGACTCTCCCTCCGCATTGGCTGAGACAGCAGTGGGAGCCACTGGCTCTTACTGCTGTCAATCACATCCAGTGAGCCAATGAGGAGAGAAAGAGGGTGGGGCCGAACCTTGGCTCTGTATATGAATAGTCAAACACAGAGCAGTGGCTCAAGAGCGAGCCTGCTTGGGTGCCCCCATAGCAAGCTGCTTGCTATGGGGGCACTCAGCAGGAGAGTGGGGCAAGGAATGTCAGTGAAGAACATGAGAAGAGGAGGATTGGGGCTGCTCTGTGCAAATCCGCTGCACAGAGCAGGTAAGTACAACATGTTTTTTGTTTTTTTAAAATTGCCCTTGATATCACTCTATTGAGCCAGAAATCACTGATATTAAAGGGCAATGGGAAACACAGACTGCAACCACACAAAGTACCAAATGACTACATGTAGACCCCAGGTCGCCCCAGGGCTTTAAATGCTTAAAAAAACTAAACATGAATTGATAATTCTATAGAATATCAAAGAGAAAAAAAAACTATAAATGCCACCATGATCACAAACTGAAAGGGATTGTGCAAGTACACACAGTTAGGTCTATTTATATTTGGACACAGGCACAATTTTAGTTTTTCTCAGGTATTTACCAAAACACATTCAGGCTATAGTTATATAATGGATATAGGCTGAAAGTGCACACTCTCAGGATTAATTTGAGGGTATGTACATCCAAATTGGAGGAAGGGTTTTTTTGGAATTACAGCTCTTAAGAGTAGCCACCCCCCCCCCCCCCTTTTTCAAGGGACCAAAAGTAATTGGACAATTGAATCAAAAGCGGTTTCATGGCCAGGTGTGGGCTACTCCTTTGTTATTCATCTATTAAGCAGGTAAAAGGTCTGGAGTTGATTCTAAGTGTGGTATTTGCATTTGGAATCTATTGCCGTGAACCTACATCATGCGTTCAAAGGAGCTGTCCATGCAAATGAAACAGGCCATTGTAAGGCTTCTAAAACGAAACAAATCCATCAGATAGATAGCAGCAACATTAGGAGTGGACAAATCAACAGTTTGGTATATTCTGTGGAAAGAAGAACGCACTGGTGAGCTCAGCAACATAAAAAACTATGGACGTCCATGGAAGACAACAGTGGTGGATGATCTCAGGATCCTCTCTATGGTAAAGAAAAACCCATTCACAACATCCAGACAAGTGAAGGACACTCTCCAGGAGGTGGGCGTATCATTGTCAAAGTCTACAAACAAGAGGAGACTTCACGAGAGCAAATACAGAGGGTTCACCACAAGGTGCAAACCATTCATAAACCTGAAGAATAAAAAAGCCAGATTAGTCTTTGCCAAAAAACCTCTAAAAAAGTCAGACCAGTTCTGGAAAAGCATTCTTTGGACGGATGAAACTAAGATTAATCTGTACTAGAAGAAAAAATTGTGGAGAAGGCTTGGAACAGCTCATGATCCAAAGCACACAACGTCACCTGTAAAACATGGTGGAGGCAGTGTGATGGAATGGACATACATGGCTTCCAGTGGCACTGGGTCATTGGTGTTTATTGATGATGTGACAGAAGCAGCCGGATTAATTCTGCAGTGTTTACAGATATACTGTCAGCCCAGATTCAGCCAAATGCAGCAAAGTTGATTGGACGGCGCTTCACAGTACAGATGGACAATGATCCAAACCACACTGCAAAAGCAACTCAGGAGCTTTTGAAGGAAAATAAGTGGAATATTCTGCAATTGCCAATTCAATCACCTGATCTCAACCAACTGAGCATGCATTTCACTTGCTGAAGACAAAACTAAATGCAGAACGACCCACAAATAAAGAACAACTGAAGACAGCTGCAGTTAGAGCCTGGCAAAGCATCAGAAAGGAGGAAACCCCATCTTTGGTAATGTCCATGGGTTCCAGACTTCAGGCAGTCATTGCCAGTAAAGGATTCTAAACTAAATATTAAAAATGAACATTTTATTTATGATTATATTCAATTGTCCAACTACTTCTAGTCCCTTGAAAAAGGAGGGGTGGCTACTCTTAAGAGCTATAATTCCTAAACCCTTCCTCCAATTTGGATGTACATACTCTCAAATTAAACCTGATAGTGTGCACTTTCAGCCCATATCCATTATATAAAGATAGCTTGAATATGTTTTGGTAAATACCTGAAAACATCTAATATTGTGCCTGTGTCCAAATATATATGGACCTAACTTTATAACATGTTTGTTATAAAAAAAAAAAAAGGACTCACTCACGCCTAGGAGTGTTTACTATTGCTTGGGCTCATTGAAAATGAATGTGTAAAACTGCATGTATACTGTAATGCCACATCGATGCAGGAAGGAACATATTATAATGTCCCTGAGGAGATGTGAAAGCACCCTAAAAGCTGACCATACACTATACAATCTGACTGTAAATATTAAAAATGAACATTTTATTTATGATTATATTCATTTGTCCAATTACATTTGAGCCCCTGAAAATGGAGGGACTGTGTATAAAAATGGTTGCAGTTCCTATAATGTTTTACTTGATATTTATGTTCAATCCCTTGAATTAAAGCTGAAAGTCTGCACTTCAAATTAATTTGGATTGTTTCATTTAATTTATTCTGGTGGCATACAAAGCCAAAAGTATGAAAATTGTGCATGTGTCCAAATATATATGGACCTAACTGTCATTGCCTATGTTGTCTCACTGAGGGTGCAACATTTATCAAAAACACTGTGGCACATGTTCACAGACAATTACAACAAAATATTGGATACAACAGATTGGTGTCAGATTGTATATTGGCCTGTTAGGGCCCCTTCACAACATTGCATTTTTCCTAAAACCACATAATGCAGTTTTAATGTGTTTTTATTGAATTGTATAAAATTTCATACAACACAAAATATTTTTGAAATGTTTTACATGCGTTTTTGTCCTGCAAAACACATGAGAAATATGTGACTTGAAAAACATACTGATTAAAACACATCTTGAGGACAATTTACTAAAACAGGAGAGAGTGCAAAATCTGGTGCAGCACTGCACGGAAATCAATCAGCTTCCAGGTGTTTTTGTCAAAGTTGAAAGAATATGTAAACCCTCAACTTGTAAAACAACCCATCTGGTTTAAAATAGAAATGAAGGCAAAACATTTATGTATACATATAAAAAAACATTAATACTTTGTTTCCCCCCTGTTCTTAGCTGCATAAGGATCTCAGGGAGGAGGAACAGCAGCACACTGACCTTCCCAGTGAAAGGCTGTGCAGGAGGGTATGTCAGCACAAACCTGATCATTGGATTGGTTCCCATCCATCTCAGCTTGAAAACTGACCATGCTGTGATCTCTTACCCAGTGTGCTTAGGTTTTATTAGAAAAGCGGAGGGACTGGCAGAAACACCAGGGATTTCACACAAAGGAATCAATACAAAGAGAACAGGATACTTTTTCATACAAGTACATTATACATCAGGTACATATCAGGAATATGAAATGTTGGGTTTACCCGATTTTAATTGAACAAGCTGAAGTTAGAAACTGATGGCTACAATGCACTGCTGCATCAGATTTTTACACTCTCCAGTTTTAGGAAATCAACCCTATTGTGTTTTTACTGTATTTTCCATGCATTGCAATTGACTAAAATGTTACAAGCATTTTGACCAAAACATACAAAAAGATGAAGCCAACAAGATTTTTCAAAAAAAGCACCACACTGCCCTCTAATGCAACACATTGATGTGAAGATCTTCAAAGATTATAACAGTATCTAGTTTTCATGCATTTGTAGCATACTGTGATCTAGATTGTAAGCTCCAAGGATCAGGCCCTCAAATCCCTCTTGTATTGAACTGTGTATTGTTGCTGTATTGTCTCCCATTATATTATAAAGCACTGAGCAAACTGTTGGCGCTATATAAATCCTGTATAATATAATAATAATAATAAATCTTGTGATGTAGCACACATAACACACCATGGTGTGAACGAACCCAAAGTCTTGCTGCTGCATTCTTCTGGTAAACAGGCCACACCTGAGTTGTTTTTTTCATTCAGCCAACAGGCTAAACAAAAAAGAAACAAAATCCA